TTCCGTCGCGGAACTGCCTCGCGAGCACGAAAAGTATGTGCCGAGCCGCGTTTTTGTCGCACAAGAAATGGTTTTGGAACAGTAAATTGGAGTCGCGCGCACATTTTGATTTTTCAAGCTAGCGCACGAACAGTGCACGAGGTTTTTTGGATGGGGCCCAGGACCCCAAAACGCCCGATTGGGGAGCCCCCCGGGGACCGCAGAAAACGCCACTCCCCAACGCGTTGATTTCACCATTTCGGTCGTTACGCACGTTACGATACGTCCCTGGCCCCCCCGCTGGGCCGCGCACATGCCGCCGGTCATGATTTGCACCCCCCCGTCCTGGACATCCCCCTCTTGGCCGCTCCCGAGTGAGCGGTTGCCTTGCAGGTGAGGCAACTTTTGCCTCCGCCTTCCTGCCTCCGCTTCTCCCCTGCTGCAGGCAGCAGATCCCGCCGCGGGCCGCGCGCGCAGCTGTGCCCCGTGATCGGGGCGAGCGAGGAGGGCGAGGGCGACGTGGCGGGGGCATGGGGGCGTAAGGTGCAGATGCCGCGGAGGAGGAGGATGAAGAGGAGGAGGAGGATGAGGAGGAGGAATACGAGGAGGAGGAGGAGGAGGAGGAGGAGGAGGAGGAATAGGACGAGGAAAAGGAATCACTAGTAGTAAGTATGCTAATGAAGAGAGTTCGATATTACATTTAGGACGAATCAGAGTATTAGTACTTGAAGTAATACGGCGAATATGAGGAATCATGCTGTCATTATTTTCAGAATAGTAGTACTAACACTACGATGGATATTCATAAGGAATACGGAGAGCACCAGTCACAACAACCTACTAGCACTAAGACGAGTAATCAATACTGGCTTGAGGATCGTTTGGGCCCCCTGCGTTTTTAAGGAAAAACGGCATGGCGTATTCCCCCTCCCCCTCCACTTCTTTCCTCCTCCGCCCCCTCCTCCTTCCCCTCCCCCTCCTCCTCCTCCTCCTCCTCCTCCTCCTCCTCCTTTGGCATGTGGCATGTGAGCTAACGTGTCGGCAAACCACGCCTGGGACAACACGCGACTATTTCTTTGTCAGTGAACCATTGGCAGTGTATGCTGACACGCCGACGGTTGACGAGAATGTGGACACTTCCCCCCACCTCCCAGTCTGGATGCCTCTTAAAGTGAAGCCGATGGTGATGTACAAGAGGGTGCCAGTTGAGCCGTCAAAGTTTTAGTCCAGCCTAAGCAAAATGCCTTGCCCGATGAAGTTGAAGCGTGGCGTGTATTCGGCAGGTGGATCAGGCACTTGCGTGGAGCCAGATGCAGATTGCAGACTTTGCCCTTGCTTGCGAATCGGGATGTCGAATATCTTGGCAAAGTGAGCTACGATTTAAGTCGTTTCTTCCGTCGCATCCGCCGTGGAGGCCGGGTAATGGACCACCTGTCGGAGGAAGCGCAGGACTTCATCTCGGACATCGTGGCGAAGTTCTCGGATGGCGACTTCTGCGAGCGAGTGCAGGGCTTCTTGGACATTGTGGATGGCAAGGTGACCGCCCATGCTGAGGGCGCTGCCGTGTCGTGGGCCAGGTGGGCGAACGACGCGTTTGCAGGAGGTGCAGCTTGTGCCCATCGTTTCAGTCGACTGCGCGAGCGGCAGGAGGTTGCCGCAGACACTGAACGATGCCACCCGTTCGAGCAGGCCGATGATTGCATAGACCAGTGGCAGTATATATGGGCGATGCATAACTGTATTGCCCCCACTCTTCCTGCTGATGCACATGCTTGGGAGTGTTTGCCGCAATTCGAGGTCGGGCAGATCAGAAAAGTGCTCCGGAGCTTCCCGACCAAGACCGCTCTGGGTCAACTTCGGCTCCATCCCCGTTCGCTGGATGTGGACTCGGACGAGGGGCTGATGGCGATGGGGGAGCTCTTTCTTGCATGCGAGAGGTTGCTGTGTTGGCCGCTCGATCGCATTCACACAAGACTGGGTCAGATTGGGGAAGCCTAACGGAGGGCACAGACTCATCGCGTTGCTCAACAGCCTCGTCAGGATCTGGGGGCGATTGCGACGCCCGTTGTCCGCAGAGTGGCAGATGAGAAACAGGCACCCAGCGTTCTGGGGTTGCGGGAGAGCGTCGTCGTCGTCTGACGCAGCCTTCTCACATAATCTAGAAGCTGAAGCAGCAGTGGCAGTAGGTAAGCGTGCTATGTCGGTGCTTGTGGATATGTACAAGTGTTACGAGTGTAGAATTGTAAGCATGCTTGTCGAAGAGGCCCGCCTTTTAGAGTATCCCCTTCGGTTGATCTGGATGGGCCGTCCAGGCGTTCGGGTCGCTCGCCAGGGAGGTCACCATCTTCCAGGGGGTACTCGCGGGGTGCTCTCATGCTAATACTCTCACGCAGCTCCTGCTTCACAGAGTTGTAGCACGCCTCTGCGCATTGTATAGGAACTCACATAATCTAGAAGCTGAAGCAGCAGTGGCAGTAGGTAAGCGTGCTATGTCGGTGCTTGTGGATATGTACA